ATACCCATCACGATGGTGGGTCTGGGCATGATATGGTAGTGAGTGAGTGAGGACTGTGGTTGTTTGTGTCCACTAGATTCATTTCATCAAATTCAGTCAAAGCCATAGCCCGCCCTAAATCACTTTAGTGTACTTTTTGGGATACTCGATCTTCACCAATATAATTTTCGCCGATTATTGGCGGGAGTTCAGGTGGTATATTGGCGAATGTCGACCCAACTTTCGGCAATATTAGCGAAAGGCATGTGGACATTCGCCAATATTCACGATAGTCAACTCGAGCAATTCACTACAGTAACGACAGGCTTTGAATCATTCAACTTTGGATCAAAAGTTGCTGTACGTTCATCAAGTTGGCAAAAACATAAGATAAACTGCACGGGGTTTGTGAAGAGTCCATATCATATATCAATATCGTTTGCTCTAATAGTTGAAAATGTGGTGGAGTTTCGCCTGTATTGGCGAGAGTCATATTAGTAAACTTCTAGATACTCTAGTTCTTGGCTTCCTTACTTATTGTTTGCTTTAACTAACTGTTACTCTATTTTATTGACTGATATTACAATTTTATTACATAACTTTTAATTTAACAACTGATCATTTAACTAGTTTACCGATACTTTAATATATAACTGATCATTCACTCAATCAATAGATTTTATAATCTTTTTTCTTACTGATCACACCATCTATTTTATTGATCATCTAAATCCATGCCATTTTATACCCTTGAAATTTCCATCAACAGTTTTTTCCTTTTAGATCCTTATCGTGATTTCAAAATTTAGTGACGGTTTTTTTTATAGCTTTTTCTGTTTGCTCTGTCTACTAACTCTAAAGTCCATAAATTTTTGACTCGTTCTGTTTTCATCTAGTAGCTGATAATATCTACTCTGATGGTTTAGGTTTTCTTTTATCGTGTTTCGTAGCTTTAAAAGCCAATACTTACATCTTTCTTCCGATATACATAGTGCTCCATAGAATCTCCATTTCTTTATCGATAATATCGAATATTGTTTTGCGTCTTAAACATTTCTCATACAAAAAGATAACTTGGACACAGTATAGAAATAAAGAATTTTTTGCGAGAAAAAGAGATTGGATATTTTTATTTTTTGATTCGTGGCAAACAGTTATGAGAATATTACTCACACGTTGCAAGTTTCCTTCAAGTATCTGATTCTTAACACATTGAAGGCGATTTGATTTTACGGGGTAGCAAATAGTATTTTCCCAGTGGTACAGCTCCAAATACAAATGATATTAACATTGAATTTTATACCAAACAAAACGTAGTCGGAAACGGGATTTATCAGTATAACTAACAATTCATAGCAAGATTATGAGCTAAAGAATTATCAAAAGCTCTAAAATTCCAGACATATAAGTGAGGATTTCCATGGATATTCAATCACGAGAAACAAATAGAACGCAGGAAATTTTTCGTCTATCAGATTTTGTAGAGTTCTCTATGCTAATCATTTTGATTTTAAAAAATTTAAAATTTGATAAAACATGACGGTGCTAGAGATACAATTTTTTCCGTATTTTGACTCTAGCACACAGAGTCGTCTCAGTTTTTTAGCGTTTTCACCTTAGCACAGTTATTTTTTTATCAAATTTAAGAAATCTTTTTATTAAAATGATCGGCAAAAAGACCTCCACAAAGTCTGACAGATCAAACAATTCTTTGAAAACCTTTTGGTTTTATGGCTCATTACCCACTGTACACTATCGTGGGCCCCATCACCTCAAATGTGTTAATTTAGTTCGAATATCCAAATTTCTACTCTATTCTAGAAACATAAAGAGAATTAATCTTATAAGTTGTTTGCTGCCGTTCGCCAATACATGTTATTACAATAACAACTGGTCCATCCGATTAGACTGTAAGTAGATATAATCTTTAAGGCCATTGACTTTGTTGTCGCATCACCGTGGAGTATTTAATCGAATGTAATTGTTTTTAGTATTTTTACATTACGTAAATGTCCTCCGACACGAGTACAGTTTGAAAAGATCACAATTCGGATAGATGACTAATTTGAGCCCGAAGATAAATAAGATTTATTAACTCGAATATATTAGTTTATTGTTAAACTGACCATTTAGTCTCTTGCATCAAGTTCAATTCAATTGTAAATCATCGTGACTCAATAGCTCCTAATAATTAATTCGTACAATAGATTAAATTTCTGAATGCTGTGTAAGGTTATTAGAAATCTATATTTTCTCTTGTTTGACGGACACATAATCTGGCAGAAACTTTTAAATGAGTTTTATTCTTAATTTAGAGTAGCTTAGCATTATGATCGATGATTTTTCAACGGTACTCCTTTAGATACGCTACTTATCAGCCATCGAATTTTAGTTTGTAAGATATTTGAAAAACGAGGGCACTATGTAGGAAAAATTTCGAATTTATTTATGGACAAACACGTGTATAATATGTCTATGTTGATACTAATTATACGTTGTACTGAAAACAAAGCAGTATGCATCATTTGTCTCTGCTACCAATCAGATTTCGTTGATCTTTCGACAGTATCTCTCGATATGCAAATTCTAAAATGTAAACATAATGACATTGGTAAACTTGATGTTTTCAACAAGAAGAGATAATATAAGAATGTGAATAAATTCAGGATGACAACATTTTAATGTCAATATTATCTCGAAGATAAAACAATGTTGTTAAAAGAAGAAAAAAATCTAGGAAAATGCTTATGAAGTAGTAAAAGGTAAAGGCAACAAGAGACGCTTCCTCACAATCTATTGACGCTTTTTAACTGATTTGTAATAAGATTTATTTATTAGATATAGTAAGAATTTTAAAAATAATTAAGTCAAGATTAGGAGAGTTATTTGTCATGTTTTATTCGGAATAATTTTGATAGAAATGCAGGAAATGAAGTTGAACTAGAGAATGTAAGTGTGGATGAAGATTGGACCGACAGTTACTTCGACATCTCTATTCCACACTCACCTATGCCGACTCCCACTGTTGTGCTTTGAATCTATTCATTCGTGAATTAAACGAGTTTTAAATCATGCTTTCAACCGGAAAGCATCATAGAGCTATTTTAAAGCTGATTATACAGTAAACCACTTGGTCTTCTGTTATGTTTTACTCTTATATCTTTTTTTAAATAGTAAGGTAAACTTCATTCGTAATTTTTTAGTTGATGTACTACGAAGGTTTATATGTTTTACTTAGAAGTGACTTCGAGTTTTAATCAGCATATAGATGCAAGCGTTTTCTTCATCGATATATTCTAAGTGTGAAATTGAATATTATGATGAAGCCATTTTGTAACTGATTAATGTCTTAGTTCTCATATTTTATTGACAACCAAAATGAGCCAATTTTCTATTTAAGTGTTATGGAATTTAGTCATGCATAAGATGATATCATCGAATTATCAGTTTATTGTAATTACGACTCACAATAAAGACATTAGCAAAACACCTTTGATTAAATCGGTAGTATACTCTATCAGAATCTTCAATGCTGAAAGCAAAGTTTTCCATCCGTTTATTTTATATTAACTGAAATATCCGACACGTATTTACAAGAATGTATATGTTATTCATAAATCGGGGTAAGAAGAATTAATTAGTAAACCAATCATCTTTCTTTCTTTTTTTAGTTAAATTATAAATCAAGCACTTTGAACTATGCATATGATAATACAAAGAGAAAGAATGATATTAAAGTATTAAATAAAATAAATGTAATTGGTTTTGAGTCATGAATATACATAGATGGAATTAGTATTGACTTAACGCAGTCGAACTTTAGACGATAACAATAGAGATAACCATGAAATATTTCAGATATTTCGTAACAAGTAAAGTAAACCAGAGAAAGAAAAGAACATTCTCGAATGTTTCAAACTCACACAAATAAGTAAAAGAAGAGAGATTGAAATCAGTTAAAAATCTTTAATTCTACTTCGGCGTCTCATAAACATTTAATTACACAATAGCGATGTTATCATATTTCAGTCATAGTAAATACAAAAGCAGAATCGATTAGCAAAACATAGAAGTTTTCTTTTTATAAAGATAAATTGAGTTTGAGAAAACTTAATTTTAATACAACAAAAAAATCCAGACACAATAGACAGCAAGAAATTAAAAAGAAGATTTGATTAAAAAGCAATTGGCAAGAAAGACAATGGAAATTTAACTTTTGCATTAACAAAAGGGATTCAGACTCTGATAATATTCCTTTTTTTCTTTTTTTTTCAATCCACGCTGTCTTTAATGTTGATGATGCTTTGCAAGATTTCAAACGAACAGCCAGGCCAACGCTCTTCTCTCATATATATACAAATACACAGAACGGAAGAAAAAGAAAAGATTTTTATGTTTGCCATATTTGCTATCCACATCATGTAACAGTGAGAAAGAAAACAGAAAGGTATCATAGTAAAATACGTTTCGATTTTTATACTTCCCGTTTAATTTAAGTTACTGATTTGTTGTGACCCAGAAACAGAAATAACCAACCGAACTGAGAAAATTAGAATGCGAGAAAAAATTTTAAGTTCGGATATCAGTCACGATAAGATCAACACTCGCACATAACTATATAGTATTATTTAATTTGTATACAGCAAAATATTTTTATTTCTTCCCAGTGATACAATGAAATATCTTCATAGGACGATAAATCAAAAAGGATTTTTTCGAGCTGATAAAATGAGATATGCATCAAAATAAGGAAGGGAACAAAAAATATATCATACCCAGACATGCGATAGATTAGAGGCCTAAAAACTGATACCAAGCTTTCCGTTCATAAACGGTAACGTGTTGAATCATACCTGATTGCAGATGACTTGCGCGTAGCATAGGAATTGGTTAGAAGTGCATCTGAATAAGTTAGAAAAGACAAGAGAAGCAAAAAAATAACTGTCTTATTTTTCATTTGTCTAATATAAAATGACATATGAGAGAAACCTTCAATTTTAGATCGATAAATATCTTCATTCATGGCCAACGAATGTTTGATATGTGAAAGGGAATTAGACAAAGCAGATGATTTAGTTACCACAGATTGTGATCATACATTTCATCGTCAGTGTGCACAAGAACGTCTCGATACAAAAAATAGAACGGATTGTCGCGCCTGTGGTCAAGTTTCGGCACTTGGTGATGCACTTGCTCGTCCAAAAATTGTCAGCGAAGGAGAATGTTCAATATGTGAAAGTTTATGGACCTTAGAGGATGATTTAGTTACTACGGAGTGTGATCATACATTTCATTATGCTTGTGCTCAAGATCGTCTTAATAAAACAAATAAAACTGACTGTCGTTCCTGTCATCAAGAATCAGCCCTGGGCAATGCACTTGCTCTAAAGAACTTAACAAAGCAAGGAGAATGTTCAATATGTGAATTGGAATGGAACTGGAAAGATGATGTTGTAACCACTATTTGTAAACATACATTTCATCGTCATTGTGCTCAAGAACGTCTTGATGAAAGAAATAGAGCGGATTGTCGTTCGTGTGGTAAAGGATCGGCTCTTCGTGATGCATTGTCTAGAAATAAAACGACAACGACTATGAAAAAATCAATGGAAACAAAGTCGGATGATAGTGTAAGAGTTTTTCTTTTCTGTTAAATCGACAGTCAGTCTCATAGTTGAAAACAAATGTTTTGAAAACTTCTGATCTATTCAAATTTGAGAATAGTCTGACATTGGTGTTTTAATGGAATTAATCTTGTCCTTGAAATGTTTCGAAAAAAGTGTCCCAGTTAAATGCTATAGATTTTTATTTTATGAAAACTAATTGTCGAACGAGATCCATGTTAACGATAAAGAATTTGCTATAATCAGCACTTAGAAGTAGTTTATTAACCAATATAAATTAAAATGTGTTATGATTTTAAAATTGTAAAAATATCAAGAGGGAAATGGCAGACTTTTGTACTTGAAGTAACTTTGGCTACTTTAAATTACTTTAAGCAACTTTGGAACTACTTTGTACTTTGGTGTACTTTTCGACTTGACATGTGCCGTTTGCCCCTTGAAAAATACGCATAATTCGATTCATAGTTGGCTATATGTTTAATAAAATTTCGAATATACGAAGAATTCTCTCGTTTTAGGTATCTCATACTGATTTTCATGGTTTCAATAATCTTGCGTAGAAAAATTTAGAACAATGTCTAGTTCTATTGAATTCTAATATGCATGTTTGTGAGACTCAGCTTATAAAAGATTGCTAGAATTTCTTTTATTGAGGATCGAATAATATTTTATTAATTGTGATAATATTGCAGCACAACTACAACATATCGGTAAAATTCTATATATTTACATATATATGTTTCTAGGTGAGAGCAGATACACATGTTGCTTCAGTGGCCAAAACTGAAGATACCATGAAAAAAAAGGAAAATATGTGGCAATGCGATGCATGTTCTGGTACTAATGACGAATCAGCAAAACGATGTGTATTTTGTCGCGTACCAAGATTCGCTGCGTCATTTGTTTCGACTGCACAAACACAACGACAAGAAGAGAGAACAACAGACGAATATAATCAAATTGAATATTTGAATAGAACACCAAAAAATAATGACCATACATCGTTGTATTCGAAAGTTCAAGGTAGACTTTGAAACTATTTCATCAGTGCTTACTTTTATTCCTTGAAAGTAATTGTACGGAGCAATCAACTCATCACGCCCTGAAAATATCTTTACATCTGTAAGGTTAAGATCATGCGAATTGACAAGTTTGTGTCGATACTAGACACGTCTAATCATGTGATTTCGATTAGTATCATGTTGAAGTAGGATGTATAGCCCTGCTCATTAAATTCGAACTACCGTAGAATCGTTTGCAACATTTTTAGTATTCATTATGACTAAGAACGATACCATTTAGTTCGTATTCTAACCAGAGTAGTGCGCGGGAATGAAGTTGGCCTAACAACAAACTGCATGAGATAGATTGAAAGCCATCATAAACCTACTAATAGCACAGCCTGAAAATATTAAAAGAAACCGGCAAACTCTCAATATAAAGAATATATAAATACATGTCTGACGAGAATTTTGTTATGGAGATGTGCTTGGGTTCAATTTCCAATAATAAAACAATAAAACTAATTTGTAACAAATGATTCACTAATTTCTGCTGATATTGAAATATTTATCATATATTCGTTTAGTCTGATATCTTTTTCTCATATAGCCTCTGCATCAGCCACAGGTTATTATGAAAAATAAATAGAAAATGTAACCTATGCATTGTTTACGATTATAAACTATTTTAAAATTTTTGTTGGCAACAGACGATATCAAACACTTGAAGACATTTCAAGCAAATCATTTCATTCAAGGGGGAAACAGCAGACTCCACTTGACTCTACCTGACTCCGAGGAGTTGGAGTCTACTGTTTCCCCCTTGATTTTATTAGATTTGATAACTATCTCATGTTCATCATCATCATCATCATCATGTTCATATGCTTCGTGTTAATGAACGATAAACATCATATTGTGCACTAAAATGTGCGTATATCTTCTCAGTACTTTAGAGATCTATGCTTCCTATGAAGTTGTCTCATATGCCGGCACAAATAACTATTTATATGCGAATAAGTTTTATTTCTACTCTTTATTAGATGCGTTGAAGCAGGCATTTGATAGATAAATTGAATTAAAGATTTATCTCAAATATAGTTAACTCATAAAATTACTTTTCGATTTTGATTTTTATAGAATACATGGATGTCGATGAACCGATGGTTAATAAATCTCCTCGTGGGTTCTATACGAATTACTCGTTAAGATCTAGTACACCATCAACAACTTCAAAACAAGACTTTCAATCAATTGAATCGGATAACCAAGAATACTCTTCAGAACATGAAGCTATTGTCTACATTTCTGATCTACCGCCAAGTATTCAAGACGATCTTCAACTACATCGGCTGATCGAAAATCGTTTGGAAAAGACATTTCAAATTATTCCGACTATTATTCAATGTTACACAAAAATAGGTGCTGGTTTTATGCGTGTTCGCAATACTCAAATCAAAAATCGTTTGGTTGAAGATATTAAAAAAATTATATTAGATTTGCCAGGAGGTACACACTTAATTTCATTTAGTGATACCATTGAAATTGTTTCATATATTGTTATTGATAAAACACACGAGAAAAATGATATCAATCTACCGAATCCTTCTGAAATTCTCAAGCGATGGGTCCATTTGTACACTGGTGAAAAGCCCCTTTCGTGTGATCAAATCAGTGTTCAATTTCCTAATATTTATCGGATTGTTTCCACTTCATTCGATGATTTACTCGCTGCCATGTCAAATCCAGATTTTCTAATCAATAAATTGTTTACACATGTTTATATTGGTGCAGATTGCAGCTATTTTGAGGATTTACCAAAATCAACAAATAAAGAAGAACTAGAAACAGCTATTTGCAATTCAATTGGAATGAAAACTATTGCAACATTGTCACTTCATATTGAATTAAATAAACAAACTAATAATGCATGTGTCATTGCCACTGATAAAGCTCGACTATGGACGACAAAAAGTTTTACCTATATTAACGATAGACCAATATCGAAAAGAGTAAATTTGACTTGTCGTTTAGTTGTTTATCCAATGCGGGAAATTCATAATAATGATGAAATTGTGAATCAAACAATATTTGATGGGCACGCATCAGTTATTGAACGAAGTGGTGAAAATCTTATTCTGGAAATATCCGACAAGAAAATTTATGACAATTGCTTATCAGTGGGGGTGCTTACTCTTAAAAGTAAACCAAGATTAAAAATGGAAATCTATATGGCTTTTACTAATCCAGAAAATCGTGAAATCGATACTGAGACATGGTATCACGTTGAAATGGTTCGTTATAAATCGGATATCATGCAATTTACTGCCGATCTTGATCATCCAATATTTCATTATAGATGGAATGCAGCCATATGGCTTCAAGAATTCCAAAATGCACAATCAAAAAATCGTAGTACTAAAGCTAATGCAAAAGCCCAATCAAGTCTATCAAATGATCAAATTCGTCATTTACTTCAAATGACTGTGATGTTGAATACTATTGGCGTTATACGAAAGAAGACTTACCTAATTAATAATCAACAAATCAAATTGAATTTAGATTCCAAACTAAAAACTATCGTTTACAATCATGATTCATTATTGGAACTTAGTCAATCAATCCAATTATCAAATACTCCTTACACAGAAACCAAAGTCAAAGTAATAAATGCAGACTGTGTTTTTGTCTATGAAGAATGCTCTAAGAAATACAAGAAACCACTACTTTTAAATATGGCAAGTGCAACAAGTCCCGGTGGTGGATATAGAAAAGGCGATGGAGCACAAGAAGAGAATCTTTTCCGACGATCCGATTATTTTCGAAGTCTTGATATTGATCTTGATTCTATTCAAGATGAAATACCGGAACGATCATATTGTTCCAATGATGGTAAAATTCGTTCTCTTGTCGATCTTACAGCTATGTATCCAATCGATGTATATGGAGCGATTTATACATCTGGTTTAACTTTCTTTCGAAACTCCGAAGACAAAGGTTATGAATACATGGACAAACCTCTAGAAGGTGTCCATGCATTGGCCGTGGCTGCATATCGAAATCCAAAATTAGACGGAAACCTGTTATCACCCAAATATGCTGTTGGAATGAGAAAAAAAATCGAAAATCTTCTTTCTATTGCTCATTATCATAAACACGATTGTTTAATTTTATCAGCTCTTGGTTGCGGTGCGTTTCGAAATCCACCTGATCACGTCGCCAAATTGTTTCGTTCAGTTATTGAACAATATGCTGGTTTTTTTCAAACGATTATCTTTGCAATTATTGATGATCATAATAGTGGACAACAACATAATCCTGATGGAAATTTCAAATCATTCAAAGACGAATTAGATGGACAAAGTTTTAAACCTATGTTACCATTAGATCATCCTAATACAATCGCCGGACCGTATTGGATTTCATCAGATGGTTCAAGTGTAAAGGATGTAACCATTTTAGATTTGGACCCATGCCAGTACGGTGCAAAATGCAATGCTTTGTATGATCCAAACCACACTGAGAATTATTCTCACCCACCTTTATGTAAAGAACGATCTTTGAAAGGCAGTTGTACAAAAATGAAAGATATACTTCATATGTCTTCATTTATTCATCGAGACCCATGTAAATATGGTGCACAATGTAAAGATATCGATAATGCAAAACATAATCAAGAATATGAACATCCATCTTTTTGTCCAAATGGAGGCGACTGTGAAGATACAAGTGATGATCATGAAAAAGCCTATCGGCATTTACCTGCATGTTCTTCATTTCAAAAATGTTTGCAATATCAACAACATGTTACAAGTCACTGTGAGAAATTTCGTCATTACATGCCTCGTTGCGATCATGGGAGTTATTGTGTAAATTTCCATGATAGGGAACATATCGAAAATTATAAACATCCATTTCCAAATCCATGTCGATTTACACCATATCATTGCTCTTTGCATGAGCAATTCATATTGGGAAAAAATTCAAGATCACTTTCAGATGAAATAAATCAACATTGTTTGAATTTGGCTCACGTATGTGGATTCGGACGAAATTGTACGGATAAAGATGCTCTACATTGGGAAAAATATATTCACGTGCCTCGTTCTTTGTGCTCGTATGGTAATCGATGTAAAAAATTACTTGAAGAAGATCATTTGAATTCGTTCACACATCCGAACATCCGCGACATTCGTTTTCTATGTAAATATGCCGAAAAATGTCACGATCGCCGAAATCCAAAACATGTGGCTAAATTTCGACATATAATTACATTGGAAGATAGCGGTATTGTCCAGTATTATAATTTAAATAAAAACATTGATTTCGTTCAAAATCAAAAAGATAATGTTGAACATGTTAGTCGTTATGTAGAAAAAGAAAAATGGGAACGATTACCATCTGGATCTGTTCCACAAGAAATCATTAATTGGATACGTACTGTTCAACCTGTGCATCGATGCCGACCAGAAATATTTGAATCAATACTTCTCCTTGGACATGTTATGAGTCGAGATTATATGGATCAACTAAAGAATCCTAAGTTCGTTGCTACATCTGTTTTTCAACACAGCCAAATACAACAAATTAAATATTTAAAAGGAAAAAAATGTGCGAAAGATGCGAAAGACTATATTGAAGCATTGGTTGCAGAAGAATTTGAGAAACCCCAGCCAGTAGGAGTAACCATCGCCGGCACCACTAAAATAGATACAACATCTGGTGAGACATATAAGTTGAAATCTCGCAAAAAACTCATTACAAGCAAAGAAGTCATTCTATCAAATATACTTTCAAAAAATGAAATGCAAATAATTAAAACGAAAGCAATAGAAATAGCTCAAGCTTCTATTAAACTTCATGCGAATCCTGCTGGCATCGGTCATCCTCCTGACAAAGAACTAGGAACAAATCGAAATGTATTTACCATTCTTGGACCTCATTTAGGACACTATTATGGAGACATATTCATTGTGTTTAAGCGGGAAATTCTTCATCATCCAGATGCAAACTTTTCTATCCAAGCAGCAACATCATATGCAAGTGGAAACTGTTTTAAATGGCGCCCATGGTTAGGTACTGATCCAGGCTCACAAGATGCTCGTGTTAAATTGTTTCACAGTACTAAATTACATGCATCCATACCAGGCTATGAATATGCAACTGCTCTTGAATTGATTGCTACGACTAATCAAACATTAAAGAAGAAGTCAATGAATATTGATTTAGAAACGATTCTTGACCGTTGGCTGTCTCGAGATTCACATCAAAGCATTGAAGCTCATTTACCTCAACTAATACCACTCGATTATATCGATCATATCTATATCTCACAGAATATTTTCGAGTCGCTAAATCCTAATACACGTAAATTTATCGATGTTACTTTCAACAATCGAATTACTAAAACGTCGCATGCAGTTGAACTTGATGACAAGGACACATCATTCGGCTTTAAACCGAATTCAAAAATTCGACAAGAATATCAAGATTTTGTTTTAAAAGATATAATGGATAAATACGGGCAACTTGATATTAATTCAATTTCAAGACCTATTCAAGGAACTATCATAACAATACCAGCAACTGACTTTAATGATCCTTTCGTTTCACCTTTAACTATTTCACAATCATATCAACAGTATAAAATTGATCATCCACAAATATCACATGATGCTACAGTTTATATCTATTGGCAAACAATGAATGGCGATATGATGTTAACATTAGCGAATGAACAAATCGATACAGACGAGCAACAACCGAATCTACGTTGTTTAATATGCTATATAGCTGAAAAGCCTGCTACGAAAGATGTTCATTATCATGAAAATGTTTCGTATTTACATAGTGGAAGACCATTTCAACATGAAATTGTTATCAAAGAACGAAGATATGCGGCTAAATCGACATCATTTTTTATTGGTTGCAATACCGACGATTTTATGACATTTTGCCTCGAAATTCGACGATCAACAGGACGGGTCATCCTATCACATTCTGGTCCAAATTCAATTTATAATCATGAGCAAGTTGTTGCAAATTTTTCGAAAACAAATCTCAATCTGAATCAATTAAATTTTATTCATGTTAGCTCTGGAGCTCATACAGTACCTATTCGAAATTTAATTGTCACCTTCGAGAAACATCCAGATTTACATCCTACTTTCGATAAACAATTTAATAAAGCTTTAGCTTCATCTACAGACCCCGTGCTGATCACTAGGCAAGACACCACGGAAGGCTCAGTCGTAGTAGTCAACATTCATGATAGTAAGGATGCCAAATCACCTAGTTTTCTTAGCCAAGTGGCAGATAAAGTCGGTGCAGTGAAAGATAAAATTATAGGTTTGTTTCCTGGTGGTGCTCCAACAGTGTTAACACCATGTTCTGTTGGCGTAAATTGTCTTATGCAATATTCTGACCGTGCAGCAATGCATAATTCAACATATTCACATCCGTGTCGCTTTTCTGAGCTTTGTCGAGATCATGAGCCTCATTTAACACATGAACCTCATAAAGTGCCTCGATGTGATTCAGATAGAAACTGTAAAGATCTATGCAATCCAATTCATCGAGCTGAATATCGTCACACGGGTCTGCCAGACTTTCTTATTCCTTGTCGTAATCAAGAAAAATGTCGTAATCGATCAGATGATCATCGTATTAAATATTCACATGGCGAACATATTGTGAAACCGATAAATAGTACGCAAGAAAGAGGTAAACTAAATTGTAATATTTGTATTTTCTCATGAAAATTTCGTTTTAGTTTCACCATCAGCACAATCTAATAGATCATTACAACAGCAAACAAGTTCTGATCGCAGCGAAAGAATAGTTTGCCGATGGGATGCTAGATCCCACGACTCCAGCGATCACCATCGAAAGAAGTATTCTCATCCTTCTGATTAATCGAGTTAACATTTATTATCAACTGAGTAAGATAATCAAGGAAAATGTTTCAATCTGCAAAAAGACGAACAATTCTTAGTTAGACGTAACTCTTACGAATATGTGTAGTTGGACATTTGCTGATGTTTGATAATAGAAAGAGAATCGTGCATGAAAGATCGACTGATTCTGTGTCTTAATTTGATTCTACACTGATCGTGCAATTTCTCACTAGACATTTTTCTTAAGGTTTTCGAGATTGGTTTTATATTTTATTCAAATGCAGACTAGAGCACTTCAGCCTCGGTGGAAATAATTATCATTCAGATACTATAATTTGCTTTTGAGAATATTCCATTATAGTTAGTGCAAATCAACCACAAGGAAAATGCGATATAATCTATCCGATCGGTGATCTAAAATTCCTTGAATTCGAAACTAATCTAAGAAGAATTTGATTAAATTTGAATTCAAAATAACCAACTATTTCTACATTCGCATATTTTACTCTAATCTGACTTGAATTCTAATAAATTTACTTCTATTATTTGTAATTAAATAAACACTACATCCTGAATATTGTTAATGAGAAATTCGAGCGAACACCCTCTTGCATTGCTTGATCACTGAACAATTGAAATTGGCACGATCATTGTTTTCACCACAATACTCTTTCTAATATTAAACATCTCAAATAATTAGTTGCTTTAGGTTTCATCTTGTTTAACCCTTTTTTTGGCGATAATATATATCTTTTGATTGAACGCACTTGTTTTCATTCCTTGTTTTTGAATCACTGAACGGTATATATTCTTTTATTAAAATCAAATATTTTCTAGATAAACATTGAATTGAATTATGATATTTTATCCATCAATGTGAATTAATTAATTTAAATCTAATTCTTTGGCTTATCCAAAACACCGTTAAACGCTACAAAAAAGCTATGCCAATAAGAATTATTCGATATTTAGCTTTAATCCATGATTGTGTTTTCTGACATCAGATATAGCCATATATCCAATGACGACTACAAAAATCAAGGCACATGAACGATGCTTTTATCTTAAAATGTTAAAAACAATTGAAGTAAGATGATTATTTTGTATTAAAAAGTGAGTCCCCACATTCCTGATTATGACATAGCACTTTTTCGTTAAGTGTCTGCTAAATAATAGACACTGCCTCACTTAAAATCAATCGAAAAAATTAGCCGCAATATTGAAATAGAAATACGCCCGTTTTTTAATCTATTTTGCTATTTTCTTAAATAATATTTATGTTTGGATTGATGGATAATGAATTTTCAACTATTAGAAAGCTGTTTTTCTTTGTACAGAGATTTCACTCTTCTATTTTGATTTTCAAAGTGCTGCAGGTAGCCCGATAAATTCAAAATGCCTTGTAAATAGCCGACAAGTATCATCATTTTTAGAGTTTAATTCTATTTGATTAACCTTAATTTTAACACAACCAATAGAAAGTTGTATTCTGCATAAACCGAGGTAACTGTTGGGCTGAAATTGAGATAAGTTTGAGACGAAATTCCTCGAAGGCCAATAAACTCTTATCGAAATCGATACGATGATTTCCGAGAATTTTATGAATACGTTTCTATTCATTTTTTCGTCTCAATAGATTTTTTACGTGAATTGTCATAACTCTTTGATTCGTTTAATTCAGTCTTGTAAAAAATCGTCGCATCTATCGAATAGGATTAGAACTGGATAGTGATACAATTTTAAGCAAATGAATAAAATTCAGTCTCGCTGATTATTTGTTCGGAATTTTAGACAAAGCTCATATTGAAAATAGTATGCAAATCTCCAATATTATTTAATACGTCAATGACTTTTGTTTTTATCTAATATAATTTCAACTAACAGCCTCTAGAAGAAAAAGAAACATCGAAATTTAAATTCACTCAATGGCCACGCAATATTGTAAATCAAACGTGTTTAGAACCATTGGAAATTTTGGAAGGAGAAAGACTACTGTCTCAACAAAGATCTTTGTGTATGAGCTTTTCAAGTTGTCTAGGCTCTCTTTCATTCGATAGAATTAGTGACACCCTATCGGCTCATATTAAAACAAAGGCAAGCTTCTCAAAAATTTCATTAGGATGCATCCAACAGTCGGCTAAAAGTAACAGTGAAAACGTAATAAATATGAGTGTTTTGTCAGTAAAATACAGTAAATAAAACGGTGTCTTTTATAAATGCTGATTCATTGCCATGTCCATCGTATCCATGTTTTATACAGTAAGATTAAATCTGACAGATATACTATAACTTATAAGCAGCCGCTGTTCTTTTTCTTTCTTTCTTTTTTTATAATACTTTCCTGGGTTATGTTTTTTTTTCAGTCCATCATATTCAGTTTGGTATAGGATTCCGTTGAAGCGGATATTCAAATTTTAAACACAATAAGAAGATGAATAATGCAATTCGTAAAACATTGAAGCGTAATAAATTCTTACGGTATTTTATATATTGTTTTCTTCATAGTATCTGCAAACAAACATGCCGATGGCCACTCAATGCAGCTCATCCATATCTTACCTGTGGTATCTTCACTTTGTGTATTCTCCGGTAATAATCATTCCTTGAAAGTAGAATATACTGAAAAGAATGTTCATTTTTCATCAAAGACTTCATAATTAGTTCTCACTGTTATCCTGTTTGTGTATGTCCTATTAGAATACATTGTTCGTATTTAAATGCATATACAATAGATACTTGAATGAAATAATATTATTTGGTTTTGAACATCGACCTAGAATTATCCGTTCGATTTATAAATTTACTTGATATGGAAGTAGTAAAATTCATATAGGAAATACAATTTATCAGAGAATCAAACATCAGTATGTGGAAAATTTCTCTTATGATTCTAGACTGTCATAAACATGATAACCCTAGTCAACTCTCCCTAGAAGACTCCCCGGCGAGTCGTCGGAGGAGAGTGGATTGGGCAACGTTGTTTTTGTTTTATTCGATGCTGAAATTTAGATTAGAAAATATTTCTGCAGACAAGAAATCGTTATTTAAAAAAATCGATGATAGAAGGAGAGATTGCTAATAGTAATTATATTCTATGATTTTTCGTATCGAACTGACTTAAGACATCCTTATGCATGTTAAGATATCTCATCAGTTTTCTCAGCGCATTCAGGATGTGATTATGCTGAAGTATCGCCATAGTTTAATGGATTTAAAAACAAATTTAGTAGTACCTGATGGTAAAATTCTGAAACGTCCCCTACCGCCATATTTCGGATTACTATTCGGCAAAAAATTGAATTAACTTCAACTCTTCGTGTATTGTTTCGTTCTAATACCCTCAAGATTTTACAAGCCATTTTCAGTGCATTATTTATAAGTAAATTGTGTTGAGACTTTTTAGAGAATAAATAAAGATAAGAATGTGGATGAGATTGTCATATGTCCTTATTTTGTAAAAATCGCAAAATTTTTATTTCGTATAGTGTTGAATCGGGCTCAGTAACACTTTCATGTTTTGAACCAAACAAATCCGTCTATTGATTTTTGTTGGATCAATATATGTTTTGTGGTATTTATTTTCAAGGTCTGATTCATCATGTACTTTTCTACGATTCAAATTTCCACCAATGTTTTTCGCTTTTCGATTCTTATCAGGATTTTGGAGTTAAATGACATTGCTTTTATAGCTTTCTCTGTTTTCTCTTTCTAGTAACTCTGAAGCCCATAAGTTTTTGATTCGCTGTTTTCATTCCGTAGCTGATGATATTTACTCTGATAGCTTAGCTTTTATTTTATGCTGTTTCGTATCTTTAAAAGCGAATGCTTACCCAGGTCGAAAAATCTGACGTCAGATCTCACAACTCGAACGAAATCTTATGAACATCAGACAAAAAATCGTCGTCTCTGAAATCTTGCATCAGATCATACGGTATTTTGTTTAATAATCGCACATACAATTTATTTTCAATACAAATTTGTCGCGATATTTTAAGGAGATATTAGTTTAATTAAAATGTCATTGCGTACGATTTTTCGTCTGATCTTTTCAGATCACATATGATCAGACGTACGATTCTTGTAAGATCTTGCCGTCTGGTTTCTCGCTCTGGGTATATTTGTTTTCGAACATGCATAGTATTCCATAGAATCCTCGTTTTTTATCGGTATTATTTAATATTTCTTCTGTGTCTTAAAGATTTCCCATACAAAATAAATGTACACAGATGCAGTATAGAAATAAAGAATTTTTTTGCGAGAAAAAAATTCCCACTGATTTTTATTTTTTGAGTCGTGGCAAGCAGCGATGAGAAAATGACTCATACATTGGACATTTCCTTTAACGATCTGATTCTTTACATAGTTCGAATATGCAAATTTCTACTCAATTTTAGAAACATAAAGAAAATTAATCTTCTAACTTGTTCGCTTCCATCCAATACATGTTATTACATTGACAACCGGTTCATCCGATTAGACTGTAAGTAGATATAATCTTTAAGGCCATTGACTTTGTTGTCGCATCACCGTGGAGTATTTAATCGAATGTAATTGTTTTTAGTATTTTTACATTACATAAATGTCCTACGACACGAGTACAGTTTGAAAAGATCACAATTCGGATAGATGACTAATTTGAGCCCGAAGATAAATAAGATTTATTAACTCGAATATATTAGTTTATTGTTAAACTGACAATTTAGTCTCTTGCATCAAGTTCAATTCAATTGTAAATCATCATGACTCAATAGCTCCTAATAATTAATTCGTACAATAGATTAAATTTCTGAATGCTGTGTAAGGTTATTAGAAATCTATATTTTCTCTTGTTTGACGGACACATAATCTGGCAGAAACTTTTAAATGAGTTTTATTCTTAATTTAGAGTAGCTTAGCATTATGATCGATGATTTTTCAACGGTACTCCTTTAGATACGCTAATTGTCAGCCATCGAATTTTAGTTTGTAAGATATTTGAAAAACGAGGGCACTAGGTAGGAAAAATTTTGAATTTATTTA